ATATACAAATATACTTATATACATATATACATTTAAATATATATACATTTAAATATATATATGTACAATTAAATATATATATACTTTCAAATTTATATATGTTTATAAATAGAGACACGTATATGTACTACATATTTATATATGTTTATGTAGAAAAGTGTGTATAAAAAGGCCTTATGCGCAACCATGCAAGAAACAGTCAACAAATTCGTATACAAACACGGTTGTACACTCACTGAAGTGTTAATAGTACCACGTTTTCTGCTAGATTGTGCCTATTGTCATGAGCTCGTAGACGTGAGAATATCGACATGTGTCTATTAAAATATGAACTCTATCGTATACATGCACGTATTCATACATAAATAAACAACTTCGTGTCTGTCTGACTTATCCCAAGGTATTGAAACGCAGTGCGCAAAGCTTGCAAGCTCAGCCTGATCGCATGCGTATCACCACACGCGTACACATGCAATACTAAATATAAGACATAGAGACACATTCCGTGTCCAACAAGGTCTGTAGTTACGTCTTTAAATATGTCGGCGATCCGTATGGCATTGTGCAAGCAAACACCACCCATGCCGCGCAATTCAACCAACTACTACGAAAGCACAGTGCATTGTTCTATCGCCGCGAATCGAAACGGAAATCCACCTACGCAGTCGAATCGCAGAGGGTCTCCTTAGGCATACCTGTGAGAGGAGGTGTAGAAGTTTGCCGTCATTGTCGTTTGTATTTATGGACACACCAGTGACACATCAGCTCGACATCGCGGACCACACGAGAAGGGGTTGACGAGTGCTATGTAGAATAAGCCCTATCGTCAGTGCTATCGTGTCCACGCCTGTAGCGGTGTAGTGCGCATATGCATGTACTGTGCAACAAGTGCAAACTGTACAGGAGCGCACACGAAAGTGAATTATACACTGATATGTGTGCTGTTTATATGTCCCTCTCTACTAGAACTAATAAAAAAATATTTGCTGGCAAAGGCTGACTGTTTTTTATTTTTCAGAAGGCTATAGGCCAGACTATGGGCATTGGGCTGACGGACAAGTCTAACATCGATTTGTTCATCACAATATGTTATCTGTTTGGTCGCTTTGTGGTCAATATCACTTTATTTTACACCAAATTATTAAATTAACAATACACTGACACAGTCTCGATATGCAATAAATCAATATTCAACGGTGTCCGACTGTATTTGAACTGTATGTATTTAGCCTCTCTTCATGTGCACAGCAGATATTAAAAAAGATAAGAAATTTATATATATATTTATGCAGTCTTTATTACAGGGGAATTGGTATTAACAGCAGGTATACATGTTCATATGTAAATAAATGGTGTATTTCTGACAGACGTATTTAGAGTTTCAGACTGTATGTACTATGTAGCCTCGATTTGCATATGCACAGCAGATAGCTAAGATAATAAAGTTTAATTCATACATAAATTTGGTGTAAAATAAACCGATCTTTTTTATCTTCAAACTATACATATGGGCTGCATATGTAAACAATGGTACATGTAGTAGTACAACCTTTATTTATTTACCCAGTGCTAGCCAGCAGAACGGCTTGCCTTGCATGAAATTGACCCAACTATATTAAAAGGATAGTGATTCGCTGTTCTGTTGTGCAGCAAGGCTTCGTAGAACTTTCACACACTTTCACGTCAAGTGATGGCGAAGGTTGCAATCTAGGTTCAATTGGTGCACATATGGAGCGCACTTACGCTACATTAGCAAAGATGAACGCAAGTATTTCTTGCGTATAGACTGAAGATTCGTAGCTGCCTTCGCTTATGTAGATTATGTGGATAAATCTCTGGTCCCTGTCTTGCACAATTTAACGAACAAACGCACAATCGTACACGCACTTCTCCACGGCCGTTGACGTTTTAAAAAGTGTTAGTGAACACGGCGCTGAGGCGAATTACACTTTGTTAACAAAAAAAGTCTCAATATATGTTGGAAGAAAGCGCAGAGTAAGAAACCCTCACAATAAATGTACATGTGGTTGAGATGAAGTGACACGTGCGTCTGATTCGAGGACAACCGCGATATGCACTGACATTCATCTTTTGATATACAAATGCGCACTAGATACAACAAATGAACATTGTCTCTATCTGTACTACGTGTATACGTCAGGTGTAACTAATAAATACATGTAGAACGCAAATCGCACACATGCAAGACATCGCGGTATGGTTTTTGCATATATTCACAGTATGACTGATGTCCGGTTATTTATTTGAAGTACCTCGATACGCCACTAACGCGCTACAACGCTGCAGCATTGAAGATGCAAATAGTATTCAATCAAGCAGGTGTACTGTGTAAGCAGGCCTGCGATGCGGCCAGTGGTATGTTGTCTACACGTGCATTTGCACACACTCACACGTCGACTCGTCTAAAATTGAATGACGACCAGAATCGCTAAAAAGAGGTTACAACGAACAATGGCTGATTTGAGGCAAACATTGTTATATGTACCCAATGTATACACACTGGTGAGTGCGTTCCATCTCATAGGCTGCAAGTATAGTTAAAAGTCCCTCATTCTTTCAGAAGAGCCATGTAGTATAGTTGATTATTTAGGAGGCTATGATATGAGTAGCGTTTTAAACCCTGGGAGACCCTAGTAGAATCAATCGCATCTTCACTACACAAGGAACATTATGTCGTCGGTATGCAAATCAAATGGGAGGCTCTACTACAGCTCCAAATAAGCATGCACAATCGCGAATAACATCGAAGTATATTCGTCCGTCTACTTACACTTAGGCCGACATGCGATGTCAATGATCAATATCGTTATCGTTATCATTATCCGTCGAAAAATTGGAATTTGTAAATATTTTGGGATTTGATCTGATCGCGCATTGTCAGAGCTGTCTGGATCACACAACACTATTAACAGTAGAACTGCTCAGCTGTTTTTCGTGGGGGTTCGTTTCGCGGGACACTACTGTCAAGTGCGTATCGTCACTCCCACATGACGCTCTTGTGATGTGGATATGCGAGCACCGTCTGAATGAATGAAGTAAAGTAGTGAACGAAACCGGCTTTCCTCATAGAATCTCATCAAAATTCGCTTGTATACTAACTGCGCAACCTTGGCATGCCTCACTCTCGCACTCACACGTGCAAGTTCGTTCCAGAATATATTAAATATCTATACGCAGCATTAAACTTCCCTCTGAGAATCCGGGTACCATGACAGATACCAATGTTGAGACCTCACACAACCCTGACTTAGGTGATTCTCCCGCGGTACAGCAACCTGTCGCCGGACAGGTGGAAGTTGACCCGAGCACAAATACGAGCACTGCTGCTGACACGTCTGGTGGCGTTGCTTCTACTGTGCCACCGATTGATCCCGGAGAACAAATGGGCGCTACCGAAACCGGCATAATGGGCAATAAAGAAACTACCACGAATTTGCCCCCAGAGCCAGAGGTGGACTATGGGAGTTCCAGTTCTCAGCCTGAAGACACTGATGAAGCCGAAAGGCGGGCTTCTGCGCCTGGACTTAGACTGGTAAGCGGTGCTATACCTACGACTGAGGCGGCGGTGGCTGACGTAGTGTTCGACCCTGAGGGTAAGCTGAAGATGCCGACGGAACAAGATACTGGCATAGTGAAGGAAGCCATCAAGGAGGATCTGCATCGATTGAGAACTGGTAAACAGCAGCAGCCTACCATCCCCGAGTCATCTCAAGGTAGTTATTATTGTGGTTATATATACACTATTTATTTAATACACTGGTGGCGTATTGTATATATGTTCACACATAAGGCGTATCGATCGAAAGGTGCACAAGCTGGGTGAATAAAAATATCATGCCATACGCCAAGAAGATTGAGATACTTCCGGAAATGCGTTGATATTTTAATCATATCAGCGCATTCATCAGGTCATACGAATGCTCATAAAATGATTTGCAGAGCTTGAGGCTGCACAGGGAGATGCAGCTAAAGGTGCTGAGAGTGGCCAGTCTGACAGTGCGCATGAAAGCTTCAATAAAAAATCATGGCTGACTGGTATCAAAGATAAAGTATTCCCCAAAAAGCACCCAACAGCTGCAAAGCAGGTTAGCGAGTGTGGTACTCCTAGATCTAATGCAGGTTGTGCTGGCAGGGACAATTATTTGCAGTGCGATTTGGGATTTCTATTATTCCGAAGTACTGAATGATCAGATAGTTTAGTAGCTTTGGGTTGAAAGCCTCGTATTCACATGCATGCACGTTTGATTTATTCATTATATGTACTGTAGAAGGAAGGTGAAGGGAAAAAACCAGAAGAAACACTTCCAACTCCGACTGAGACTCAACAAGAGCCTAAGGTAATGTTATCACTATGAATAATTCAATTCAATTCTTTGCATGGAATGCTTTTCTATTTTCTGTGCATTGTGTATTTCTTCGGAAATAACATGCGATCCACTTGATGATATGATACTACAAAGTACTCACACATCTCCATGCACTTTCACTGCAGAAAACGTCACACGATCAATCTTCAAATGGATCAGGCAAGGCACACAAACCAAACCTGTTGGAAAAAATCGGTTCTTCTTTCAAGCCTAAGGAGAAAGAGAGAAAAACCGAAGCTCCACATGTATGTCTAATAATGAGAAGTGTGAGCATGTGTACGTGTGCATGTGTTTTAGGGGTTTAGGGTTTAAATGGCGATCCCATCAGTTTTGTCTGTAATAGTATGCATGCCCTTATGTACAGTATGATTTCGCATATACCACACATCGCACATCACTGATCCCAACCTACGTAAGAATACAAAGGTTTTCTCACATCTTCATTTGTTGATCCTTCTACACCACAGGTGGAGCCCGTGCCTGTGACCGACGAGGTCGTCACCACAGATTTGGCAAAAGCCAGTTAAATACAGCAGGATTGCAGACGGTTGATCAAGTTCTCAATCAGACAATTTGTGCTATACGAGCAGGAGCTTCATAAAATATTCCTGTACGATGGCGATGGAACAGTAGCGAGAACCCAGAAAGTACCGTCGGTCGCATGCGATGGTCAATACTCATTATATCTATGAGGGCTTATCAGAGAGATAGAGATGCGTAGGTGATAACAATATAAATGAAGTAAATATCAAATTTGTGTGCAATAAAGCGAAAATGAAGTTTGTTCTTATTCATATATAGTTTACCGCTATAAATTACTATGTTATATGTATAGTTCAGTACACGTGAGATATTGAATGGTACGTAGTCAGTCTATTATCAAGATCAATGGAAGGGGCTGACTTTGTTTTCGCAACACTGATAGCTCTGTGGATATTATGGGCTCCAGGCTTTGCGACTTGCAAGTGAGCATCAGGGCGAGAATGATCAAAGGCTATACCGAAAAAGAAGATTCGCCGATCTACTCTGAGTGCACGTGCCCCGCGTACATAAACCATACAATAACAACACAATGTCCATAACAAGTTAAAAATAAAGCAACTTTTAATATAAAAAACAGTTCATTGCTATTTATATCTATTTCATTTTTTCTTTGAACAAGTTCCTGTATCGGGGTGTATGTTGTACATACACGATTTATCTCGTTTTTTACAGGCATATATGTATATGATATTTTTATCATTCACAGCAATATTATAGGCAGTTCAAGTCGGCATATTATGTATTGTCTGTTACTGATTCAACCACGCTGATCATGATGCTGGTCTCAGATTTCCCAATAAGTCCAGTAGTTTGGATATTTTGCTGTCTTTTACGGTTTACCGGACTCCTGCTAACCGATAGGCATTTCGCTGTTGAACGGTCGAGGACGCATTGCCGCCAATGCGGGCTCTAAATTCCTTTGAAAGTTCGAAATCTAAAAAACTGATCTATTTTTTTTTGGAATAATTTTCTATATCTGTGGCATTTTTACATCGTCAGAAAAAGTTTAAAATCCACGGCTTCCGCGCGAGCTTCACAGGAGCAGGACTTGAGCAATGCCCGTCCAATTGGTGCTGGCAGTACCAAGCGGTAAGAATATTCGAGCAGCTGCGGCCAACGCGACTAAAATACTCAACAAGAGCGGTACAAAATAGACAAAACTTTTATATACATATTTCGCTATCATAGCCTTCTAAACAAATAATTAATATAAATACATGTGTGACTCTATGAGGTTCGCTCGTACGTCGGTCTTCGTCAACACATCTGTTTATGTATATTCGTATGAAGTCGAGGGTAAAAGTGTGCACTTGATAAGCAATAGCGGTACAATATAGGTGTAGCGCTTGTGTGTCGCCGGTTGTACTTGTTCTTGCGACGTGGGAGTCTACGCTGAGCGAATACATTGAGGACTTACTTGTATAGGCTCAATTATAGCACAGTTTGAAGACTGCTCTTCGTGTATTTGCTTACAGCTTTGCGCACCTGTAGCGGATTCGTGCTTAGTATACAGCTACGAGAAGCACTCACGAGAGTCACTCAGAATTACGAGAAGCACTCAGAATAGGTACGGGATCAACGAAAGCTGATGTGAACGTCGGACCGGGTCAGCTATAGTAGATACAGCATATCAGAGAGGCTTAATAGAAACCAGACTAGTAATTGCACCGTACACAATGGTAGACACAGAAGAACTCATCAGGCAGCTGGAGGAGGCATCTGTTTTGGTGCTGGTATGTACTTGAGTGTCTGGGGTACTTCTGTGCGTGGGCAGTGTTTGGCTTGAGATCATCCGTGATATGCTTATGTAGCTTATAGGTTTCAAATAAGGTACTTGTAGGCATGATAATTCAAGTTGGTATCAGCGAGGCTCTCATGCAGAGACAACTCGAGGTATACTAGTGCCAGAGATAAATGGACCGTTCTTGTGTGTCAGCTCATGTCAGGTGTCTGTGCTGATGCTTGTGTGCCTGCAAATGAAATCTTACATATTCGCATACGCTAGTATACCTGTATACATACGAGCGTTTTGGCAATTGGGCATACACATATAATATACATACATACATACACACATATATACATACATACATACACACACACACACACACACACACACACACACACACACACAC